AAGGGGGCAAAGGGGGGTATACATCATGTGTTTGAAAGGGGGTTGAAAACAGGTGAAAGGGGTTTTGACTTTTAAAAAGGTGTATGTTTTGAAATGTTTTTTTTTTTGTTTTGTTTTCTTCTTTTATTTCCCTTTTTGTACGAAATTTTGATGCGACCCTCTGCGAAACGTTAGTTCCATCGCAATTCTTGACAATGTATATATGTTTTTTAACAAAATTTTTGGATTTGTTTTCTTAGTTTAAATTTTGGGGCCTCACTGAAGTTGCCTGCCACCAACAGGCCACATCAGGAAAAAGGGGCTTGGAAGTGCTTGTGGTTAAAACCGAAAAGAGGGGAGAAGGATGTCCAAGACAACACCCGTGCATAGAATAAATTATGGCTACGCTGCACCATTGATCAGTTGTGCATACAGAATGGGGAAGGAGAGAGAGGGAGGGAGGTTGGGGTAGAGAGGTTTAATGGAAGACCAAAAATTTGGTGTTTTTCGCCGCACCACCACAAGTGAGGTCGTCAAAAATTTTGCGGACAAACAATGCACGCTCATAATACAAACATAAAAAAAAAAAATCAGGCAAAAAAAAAAAGGAAAAAAAAAACTGAAGAGCACTATGAAACCCTATTCGGAGGAGCTTTTGGAGTTTGCCAATTTGTTTTCCGATTTTGGTATTTTTGCAAACCTTTTTTGTTAATAGCCCAAATGCATCGAAACTGAATACAGTACAGATATACCCTAAAGCACATACATATCACGATATCACACAGAAAAAAAAAAAAAAAAAAAAAACACCAGTTCGGGGAAATATGGTAGTTTCGGTGAAAAACATTTGCCGAAAATGACACCACCTATTAACCATACATGTGGGGGGAAGGGGAGACAAAACCGTATACCTCAGAGCTGTGGTTTTCACAATGATATTGATGATGCTTCTTAGGCCCCTGCTTGTGGGTGGATGAGCAACATTAGTGTCATTAGGATTGACTGTTCAATGAACATACAGTAGCGCTTAAACCACCAGTACCTTTCCCATATGTCGCCCGTGGGCACTGCGCGCCGGCCCGAAAATGAAGACTGGCCACAGATTCCGTTTATCGGCGGCCGCCCTTCCGTTTCAGTCCAGCGCGTTACCCGGCGTGCGCCTCTGATAGAAATGCTCGGAAAGGTGGTGGCGGTGGTTGAAAGTTTGAAGTTTAAAGTTTAAACCATCGGTCCCTTAAAGCCAGGCTCTTTTATCTCAACCCAGGTTGCCACATCATGCCCAAAAAACAAGGTGCGCACAAATGCGCTATTGTTTTTGCCTGCCGTCACTAGCCATTTTCAACCGGTCAGCTGAGCCCCCTGTTAGCACGGCATGTTACCTGCCACATCGGAACAAACAGTAGTTGGGAAAGAGACTTGGAGCCTTTTCTTCCCAACCTGGATTGCTCCTGCATGCGCAAAAAAATTGAACTCACGTAGGCACAATTTATTTATTTCTTGTTTTTTKTTTTTTTRAAGTACTAGTACCTTTGTCATTTCGGAAAACAGCAGGCCTCCRAGCTTTTATTGCGTGGGGGGGCTGTGCTAATCTTCTTTGTATCGTTCCAATTTTGAAAGATGTCTGAAGGACCCTCCGACCGTTGAGGTGGCTGAAACGAAACAACAGCCGCAAATTAGAATTATCAATGGCAGCCGTCGTGGGGCCCGGCCTCCGAATTCTTCGGGAGCTGGCGCTTTCCCTCATTTCTGAAGCGGCAAAGGTACTAGTGCTTTGAGGACTTTGCCTTCATTTCCTGGGAACCGGGCCCGGCGTCTCTCACATCTTTTGCTGCAACCACTGGCGTATGTGAGGCTCTCCAGCCAAGCTCATCCCCAGCTGTAGCCCAGTCCTGAGCAAAAGAGGGCAGCATGCCAGGTGAGGTGAGCGATTTTAGTCTGATAGGTTGAGCCCCTGATAACACTGCAATGTTAACAGCCGCGGAGGAAGAAAATAGCTCGGGAAGGGACTGGTAGTTTAAGCAACCAATCAAGAGTCCAAACGAGGCAATAGATCGCGAGAGTGTTTCAGCCTATCTTAGACAAATTTGTCTCCGTATTGAAAATCTTCTGCCCACGTGAACAATACACACTCTCTTCTTTTTTTTTTTTTTTTTTTTTTTTTTTTTTTTTTTTTTTTTGTCAAAACAA